AGAGTTGGCACGATTTTTTGTGCAAGTTTCTGTAGGAATGGTGGCTTTTGCTGGAGCGCTGGTAGTTAAAGATTTAAAAAACTGCTCAGTGTTAGGAAGTTATGTGGTTATTGAACAAAATGAGCATTTTGGGGGTTTTCTTTTCTCTCTGTGACTTGACTTTCTTTTGTTAGACCTATATACCCCCTCCTTAGGGGGAAAAATCCTAACTGAAATTCGGAATGGGTAAACATACTCTGCCCTCCCTTCCAAGCCTGTCTTTTATAAATGTCATCAGAACAGGAGTGGGGATCTGGTGGCCTCAGCCCCAGTGCCACAGTCTTTGCTGAGCACAGGACAATCCGATTGGCTTCCTATTTGAGGAAAGTGGTCACAACGGGAGTGTTTGCTGTTGTCCCTTTCTCTGGGCAGATCAACCTCAGGGCCATGAAAGGCAGGGAATCTGAGGTCTGAAGGAGCTCAGGCATGGGGTCAGTGATGTGGTGAGGTGGAAATAGATGTCCTGGCCAGAGCTCCCCAAAGCCAGGCCGAGTGAAGGTGCCAGGTTTGCTACAGGGGTAGTAAGGAAACCTAACTGATGACTGCCCGGGTGGCGGAGTGGGGGTAGAATTTGGCCACCAGTGAAAAGTGTGGCACATAGGCCAGTTTGGCAAGTGATCCTGCCTTAGGCACAAGGAAGCTGCCTTTTTTCTGAGTGTCCAACCTGCCTCTAAGCAGCAGGAAAATTGTGGGTGATTGTGCATCTCTTTAGGAGCATGATCGTCACTGAAGGTGCTTCTCTGCCATCATCTTAAACAGCAAAAGGTGAACTTTTCAGATGCTAGAAACTTGTTGGTCCATCCAGAAAGTTTTGCACTGTTGCCTAGTGTTCCACTGGCCCTACTCTGGATTCTGAGTTGCTTTACCCAACATCGTAGACATTCAGATGTTTGGTCAGTGAATAAATGGCCTCTTTCCCACAATGCAGCACTGCCTTTCTGTCAGCCACTCCAGCCTCTCTGGTTCATTCTCTACTTTGTCACAGCACTAACAACCCCAAAGCTCAGCACTTAAACCGTCAGTGGACTTCCCTATGACACGAGAACCACAGACGCTGGGCCTGGCTTGTGGAACCTAAACCTGATGCCATGTGCCCTCTCCCCTCCCTTTCCGCCCACTGACACACTGCTCACTCCTGCCTCCCTGAGGAGGGGCCTGCAGTGCCCCCTCCACCCAGGGAGTGGCCCTGGACAGGGTTCCTCCAAGTGGAACTGCCCTTCTGGGACTCTCAATACGCATGCTCACGCACTGTCAGAGGAGCCGCCGATTATGCCAGCAGGGACATTTTATTTGGCTCCTTAAAATATTCATTTCCTCCCTCTCCTCAACGCCAAGACAGACTGCCCAAGTTCTGGGTGACACTTTCCTAAGGATGCCCCATCTTGTCTCTGCTTGTTGTCCCCATCCCTGTGTTTCTCTGCCAAGACCATGCTCTGTGCTGTCCCCTGTGTGCAGGGAGGGTTCCACACCAGTGATGCTCCTTAAAGAGAAGCACTGAGTATGTCTTCCAGGTTTGTGTGTGGGAAGCCTGCCTGGAGAATGGTTGCCCTGCATTCCTGGAGCTTTCTCAGAATGTGGTGAGCTTCAGAGGGATAGATCTTAGAATGAAACCAAAAGTTCTTTCCAGGAGTTATTAGTACAGGCCTGGACATTTGAAGGGCAGGCATCTTTATGTTCTTTACCTGGGCTTTACTTCAAGAGGGGAGGCCTCAGAGGGACAAAGCTGCTAACAGGGATAAGATGGGAAGACCCTCTGGTGATTGGGGTTTCTTTCCCTCTTACCCCCATTCTCATCTCCATTGGAAGCAGACCTGCAAGAAAAATTAAGAACAGTTTTAGAAAGGATTGAAACTGTTTTCTCACTCATCCTAGCCAATATTTTCTAACACTCCAGGTTTGAAATATTCCATCCCTTTGCCCCATAAATCTCTAAGAATCTCTCAAATGTTCTAGAAATTCCCTCAACTATTGATATACAAACTCCATAACTTCTTTGTATGTAGAATCAGCATAAAATCCCTTGGTTACACCATGTGTCTCAGTTCTGGCTTTAGGACAGGAAGTCACTGGTAGTTGATAAAGCCTAGAACTCGGGGAGAGAAGGCTGGACTGTTGAGGTTGACAAGCTTGTGCAAATGAACGAGATCACCCCTTCCCCGTAAGCGATGAGTTTGGTGTGGAATCCAGGTGAGGCCTTCTGTAGAAAAGTAGGAGGCTGTTGATTTTGAAATTGTAGAAATCTGCTAAGTGGAATTAGCTTCAGCAGGTGGCTGCTGCTGTTTCTTAGAGAACAGACATGGAGAGGCCTGTGTCCCACCGCCAGGCAGTGGGGATTGGCAGGGTGCCCTTGTTTACCTGGGAGCAGGTGATTCGGCCACCACTCACCCCAGAGTCTGTCCTTCGATGGGTCTGGCCAGTTTGGACAGGAAGCGTTGCTGTCCCAGGAGCCAGCTGGGCTCCCTCCCGCTCATGTACACGCAGCTTCCAGGGTGGACGGCATTGAAGTGACTGCACTCCGGGGAGCGGGGGGACTGAGGCTTCACCATTTTAAAAGCAGGAGTTTTGTAACTACCAAGAGATGCTCTTTATATTTTGTAATAAGGCAAGTTCAATGGGGACTTCCTACTTCTGTTCTTTCCCCATATTTATTTGCGTTTTTTGCTTTTACATTGCAGGTAAACTAAAAGATCTTGGGAACTTGGTTCTCCGACCTTTTGGACTCTCCACAGAAAATTTTCAGATCAAACAGGATTCCTCTACTGGCTCCTACTCCATCAATTTTGTTCAAAATCCAAATAATAACAGATAACAGAGATAACAGTAACTTTTAAAGCTGGCTAGTAAATTGTGTGCTGCTTGCTGGTAGCAAGGGGAAAGGCCCTGCCAATGTTTACGTTCTAAAAGCATCTTATCTCAGAGAGGCCATCCAGTAGACCCCAGTGCACCTCTCCTTGTGTGTGATGATCAGGGTGAAGTGTATCCTGATGTAACGAGCCTAATTTGATTTCCATTTTAAGTTGGTGTCTGTGCAGCTGTTGTCCTTTGTTGTATCCAGGAGGAGCCTTAAGGCTGACCTCCTGAGCCAGACAAACATACAAGCCAGACGCCTGATCTCCTGGACCGAGCAAACCTGCTGGTCAGAGACTGCCCAGATATGACTGACGGGGGTCCTGCCTCCTGCCCCCTCTCCCAATCACACGCACTGCCCAGGCTGCGCAGCGTGGACTCCTGATTTCCTCTGTGGTAATAAATGCTTTCTGTGACAGTCTGAGCCTGTGCATTTTGTCCTCATGACAGCTGAAGCAGAAGGCTTCTCTCTGGCTCTGGGAGCAGTGTTCAGTTCATTGTTTCTGGATTCCACAGATTTGCCTTAAGTCTTAGTTGTCACCTTGAGGATGACCTTGGAAAAAGTTGGCCATTCTACCATGTACTTGACTTCAGAAACGACCTCAAGCTTTAGCCCTCCCCAACTTTGCACAGATGTTATAAAATCACTTTTTTGACCAAGCATTTCTTATTTTCAACTTAAAATAGCTTCATTCAGGAATATGTGAGTGCCAGAATAAAATATTCTTTTAAGACTACATGAACCCAGAGTTTTCAAAGGTAGGTGTTTATTTGGGTTTTTATTTATTAGTTGATGCTGATGAAAGCTTCCAGTTTTGCTGGTTTGTGACAAAGGCAGTGCCATGTTTCATCTCAGAAATGAAGTGCATGTATAACTGACATGCAGTAGTCCCATTCCCAAATTAAGGATTGTGCTCGCTCTTTGATCTCTTCTCAAAACCCTTTAGGCTATTGCTTTATGGATAGTTAGCAGAATTATGTGCAGTATTGACTTTAATTTGCTAAGCTTATATCCCAGATTGAAAAGAAATTCTCCATAGAATTTACTATGGGAGAGGGAGAAAGAACATTGCTAATTTTGTTTTATTCTTTTATGGTAAATTTTCCCCAAAAGATGTGAGAAATCCTGCGTATGTAGGGAAACATAAAACTGGTGGTGCAGCATCAGTGGCAAGTGCTTCTTGTGGGGCCATGTCAGGCTGGAGTTGTTCTCAGAACCCTTTCCACTCAAAAACATTTAAAGAATATTTTGGCTCGTGTGGATTGTCTCTGTTAATATATGTTAGAATTTAAATACATTTCATATTAACATAAATATTCCTAGAAAAATATCTTCCAAAACAAAGCACATTTTAGTAAGAGTGGCATTCTACATATTTGCAAAGCTCTTTAACATGAGACATGATAGATTATCATATTGTCACAGTATCACATCCTGCAGTCTGGAAAATTCTGCATTGCTCATGACAGAATGGTGGTGAAAAAGAGATAATCCCATATTACTATGAAAATATTATGGATTCTGTTTTGCTTAGACTTTGAGTTCAATGGCTGAGACTAAGCACAGGTTGGGACTGAGATTCCTGAAGGACTAGCTGAGCTCCAAGAAATAGGAATCGTTTGCCTAGAAACAGTCCTGGTGAAGACACTACTCTTCCTGCAGGGTGTATAGGTGTTGCTTTTTTACGCTCCCCCTGCCCTACTCTCTTGAAATCGTACAGGACCCACATTAAATGCCTCTAGTGAGTGGGCCATGTACATGGAAAGAAATGAAGTTTGCTTAAGCCTAGAGGTTTTTATGTACCACTATTATTTCTCTACTTCCAGAATCTTGGGGAAAAGGTAAATTCAAACACTTTGAAAACATTTGGCCATAGAAGAACCTTTAAACTGTTGAAAAGTAGATATTAGTGTAAGGAAGGAAGGTGGCCTGTTTGCCTTCTGTTGCTAAAGTATGATTTAAAGTTCAGTGATGCCTTCCTCCAACCAAAACAAGTATGCCAAAATTTACTTTTAAGGTAATCACACTGTGACATTGTATGTATTTTTATTCCAATGCTGTTGGTCAAAATTTGGTTCTCCTTCTAGAGTGTTTTTGGAGGCTCAAAGACATGTTTTAACCTATCTGCTTCCATGAATAGACCAGGAGCTCCTAGAAGGTAAGGGCCATATTTACATTCAAAATAGCACTGCTGCTCTACTAGAAACTTATAGTCTGAAAGGACATTGCTCAATAAGTGGTCTATGTGAGCTCACTACAGCGTGTTCATTCTGTGCTCTTTATTCAGTACCTGTTTTAAAATGTCTCCTTTGCTGCTAACAAATATGTTATCTCAAGATAAGTAGCAACTAGTTATTCTCAAAATTTTAAGACTAGCAAGTTATTCAAATATCAGCTTAGGTTTATGTGCTACTAGTCACCTCCCAGAGAATGTGGTGGGAGGTAGTGAGACAACCTGTTGTCTTGACCTCATCAGAGCCGAGTTCAGCTTCTGCAGGATTTTGTTTGCATAGGTGTGTAGTTCTGACCACTTTGGAGGGCTCATCTAGGATTTCTCAATAGTGAATTCAGTAATCGCAGCTTAACTTGTATGCATGCATACAAACAAAACCAATGGACAGTAATGGGGGTAAGGGCTTGGACTTGGGAGTGGCTGGGGAGAAATCAATGGGGGGGAGAGAGGGAGAAGGAGGCTCATGTAATACTTTAAACAATAAAGTATTTAAAAAATGTTTGTAAAGAAAGCCCCTTAGTGAGCCCATCCTGTGTAGCCACGTACAATGTCCTCACATATTGACTGTTCAAACTGGCTTATAAGCATATCTTCTGCTTTTTAAACTTTGCACCTTAGATATTTGTAAGGATTTGTCTTGACTTTCAAAAATCCCCAACTTGTCCTCCAGTGTCAGCTTCCCCACTTTCTCCTAGATCACATTTACATTGAATCTCATGTCCTCTATGTCTGCACTCTCTCATCACCTCTCCAACTTTCATGGAGCAGCTTTTCCATCCACTAGAGCCTCTGTACAAGGCTTACCGGAAAAGTGGGACTGTTCCTACAAGTTCACACCAGCTGGTGGTTTCTGTAGTTGTCTTCACATCTTGGGTCTGAAGTTCTGTTCTTGAAATCCAGCCTCTTTCTATAACCAACTTTCTGCATGTGTTTCCTTTCCATCACAAGCAGTGCATCTGGGTTATTTCTATCCTCTTGCTCCATGAACCCCACCCCCCAATGTCCTGTGGTTTTACGTTATTGTACTTATAGGAATAGACCGTCACTCTGGGTGAGGATATGGAGCCCAGGGAGTGGCTGAACCTACTAGCTAATGACCTGAACATCACAGCCCTGGGCCCACATCTGAGCTTCAGTAAAATGACGAGCCCTCACACTTTGGACCTTCAGATTGCTCAGGTATTGTCAAAGTCACAGTTTTGTTTAATTCATAAATGCCAAGTGTATTTCTAATATTTTGTGTAGTTTAAGTAGGGCACAGCTCCCAGGAAATGTTGCTAGGCCTGGGGATTAGTGTGGTGTGCCTCTGGTGTCTGAGTTGACCTTAGATGATTGCCGAACACCTTCAAACAGATCATAAGCTAAAATCCAGGCAGATTCAGGAAGAGCAGACCTGGACTTTTTCAGTGCATTTTACTATTTGATTAGATTCAGGGGAACAGGCCGCAGGTGTTAAATTTAAACCTGACTAAAGCCCTGACCCGCCCCCAGGAAAGCAGATCTGTAAATTCTGTCCTTTATAAACTGGCTTAGCCAAACTTCAACTCCCTTAAGCTTGCCCCTGAAATGAAGGGAAAGCCTAGAGCTGCAGCGGTCTCATGGGTGCTGCTTGTGAACCTGCAGCCAAAGTGGCTGCCATTCATGTTTTCTGTGACCACTTCCCTTCTCGCCTCCCTAACTCATCCCTCCCCGACTTCTCTAACACGCCTATCAGTCTATGTTGTGTACTTGGTACATATCTGCCACCTTAGAAAAACTTCCTTGGAGAAATTTGAGCAACTTATCTTTCAGGCTGCCCCCTCTGCACCACAAAAGTCACAGACTGTCCTCCTGTCATCTAAATCCTTTAAAAAAGGAAACGTGTGCACGTTCTACCAGAAGTGACTGGAAAACCTGTTCCTTCAGGGAACTGCACAATTAAAGCTGTACAGAGGAGGAAGGCGATCTTTCCAGGCACTTCCTGTGTTGGGCGAAAGCTGCCGAGCCTACAATAGGAAATGGATGACTTGCTACTAGCCAGCCGAAGTCGAGTGGTAAAAAATAGCCACAGAGCATATAACTGCCCTTTCAAGGGGCAAACTAGTTATAAAAGTAGGTTATGAAAACTAGTGACTATATTTCAAAGCATCAGAAATTTCAGTCTTCCTGGCTACTAGCTGATTGAAGCTAGGGATGGGTACATGAGGTTGTTATCCTGCTGTACCTCTGTAAGTGAAATATTCCACAACAAAAATAGTTTTCTTCCCATTTTCCAACCCTCTGGCATCCACCATCTAGGTATAGGTTCCGTCACACGGGTTCTGTCAGCCAGAGCTAGAAGTAAGATGCCCCACCTTTTTCCTTTCACTCAAGGGGAAACTGGAAGCTCACGGTTCCTTTCCCCTTAGCTAAAAGCAGGGCTTGCTGCCCCACTGCTAACAATCTGTGGCTGTGACTCAGTCCCAGCTACTCATTTCTGGCTGGCTAAAAAACATGGCCTCTCTCAATGGGAACTCCTATCGGGCACTGGGCTGCTAAGCTCAGGTATCACGACAGATGAAGACAAGACTTGTCGGGTGATTTGATGGTCCCAAAATAGAAAGCTATTTGCCTCACGAAGTCGACTGGAAGGAAAGGTCTGATAACTGGCTCGGGCTGTGTAGCACTTGTATTGGACTCTGCCGTTGGTGGTGCTGGCATCAAAGGCTGGAGCTACAGCTACAGCTTCTGCTGTAAACGCTTTTCCAGCCCACAGGCGTGAAAGCAGCTGCATTTAAACACGTGAGGGACTGCCTGTCACTGCCTTCTGTTAGGTGGTCTCTTTCTGAAGGCCAGCTATGCTCTTCTGCGGCCAGACACATTCGTCTCCCTCCACCTCTTCTTGCTGGACACGCTGCTGATCAGTTCATCTTCAGAGCACAGGGTTCTGCTTTGACTTAGGATCCACATGAGTCAGGGGCTGAGCTTAGAATTCAAAAACACAAGATTGTAGAACATTTTGCTCAAGGAAAGATTCCTTTGTCTCATGTTTTGGGCCTTGGCTAAGTAGAAACTGAAGGGCTTGAGTGAGACACTTTTCTACACCCCATTCTGGCCAGCGCGGCCAGGCCTGGTTCTTCTGTCAGGAAGATAGAACTAAGATTAGAACCCATGTCATCTTTCTCTTAATATCACCAGTGTTAGAAGCTTCTTCTCACATGCCTCACGAGGGAATGAAAGGGCTAACCCAGAAGTGTTCTTAAGGACAATGTCCTAGCCTCTGTGTTTGGCCAGCTCTTCCTTCCTCTGGCAGTTTTCCTAAGTTGTATCTTCTTTCAGTCCAGGTTCATTACCTTCTTGATATCTAAGCAAAGGAGTTGTTAGGCCATGAAATTTCATTGTGAATAAGCAGAGATTTGGCAAGACACTCATCACTAGACAAAGTATGCTTTAAAAACACAGCATGCTCCATTTGAGTACTGAAGGAGGAATCATTACTTGAAAGAGAAAAATGAACTATAAAAGCAGTAAAACGGCTTCTAGCCACAGTGACATGCCCAGGGAGGTGCCGATACAGTCCACACATGATTCCTGGACACGAATATGAACTTATATTTCCTTATCTTAAGTGTGTCCATGGGTTGCATCCCTCATTCCCTGTATTTTGTAGGAGTTGTGTCTGTAAACATACTGGCACACGTCATGACACCATTAGGTGGATACCATGGTATGGAGGTAGGAGGAAGAGGTCTCATGTAGGCCTTCCAGATACTGAGCTCATGGCTTATTTACCTTCCCTGCTTCTCTCTAGCTCTCTTATCATTAATGAGAAACTTGAGGAAGAAAAGATATTACCAGATTCCAGTGGCCTCCTTTCTACACTCATTTAGATAAGGTGAAATGGGAGAATGTTTGCAATTAAAGACTCCAGGTATACTCTGGAAAAACTGGCAGCCTTCCAAAGGATTGCTTTACACAAAGGGGAAAAATACACACACTGACCTAAGTTTTTGGGTCAGTACTGAAAAACTTCAATTGTCTGGTAGGTTTTAAGAGGCTACTTTTTCCCTAACAGCTTAGTGTTTCTGAGCAAACACTTGACTTCACTTTCACATTGGATGTGCTGGGCTTATTAAAGAAGCGACCAATTATCCATAAGGGCAGGACTCCTTTAAACAACCAACCAACCCACCAGTAGATATTTGTTTCCATCATTCACATTCCTCCAGGCTTAGACATAAAGTAAGTCCCATAAAATCCTTCCAGTGACTAAAAACTTGCAGGTTCTCCTAAGGAAGCGATGCTACTTAAAACAGCTCCACAACTAGCGGTTGAATTTCAACACTGAGTAAAAAATAACCTTTAAAACCTGACTTCTATAAAGTAAATAGTTTATAAATAAATTTTTAAAAATATCAGACTTTATTGGATGTTACACAACATTCTTAACATTTATGTCTCAGCATACTTTAGATGAGAAACAAAGTTGTCATTCAAGTCTACAAAATGAAATAGGCTTCTGAAGATTTGAAATACAAAGGTAGCATGAAGCATAGCTTAAATATTAAGCAACTAAAGCAATGAAAGTGAAATAGCAACATGGTATGTCCTAGATTTTAAATACCACCAAGTTTTGTTTTTTTTAAATGAAAATCTGGTTTATAACAAAACACCTTTTGAGAATTTATGAGAAAAAAAGATCCTTAAAGCCTGATCTCTCAAATTTTTATTTATTTATTTATTTATTTTTTTTTTTTGCCTTTTATCATTTCCATCACTCTGCACAAATAATGCTAAAGCTTACTTAAAACTCTTGATTATACAACTCACATGGCAGGAGTTGTCTGGTTCTGGAAGGGAGTCTGGAAGGTACTGCTGGTGGTCATACAGCTAAGACAAGATGGGCAGAGAGTCTGGTGCCACTGAGGCCTGTAATCTTGGACTCCCTGCTGGCATAGTTCCTGAGCTTTTTCAGATTTCATCATATGAATAATGACTTCACGATAAATACTTTTCCAAAAAGACAATTTTAGAATTCAATCAACTTTTTTACTTACAGTGCAATTACGATTTGCATTAAACTCACAGAAACAAGAGTGCCTACCTTTTCTTCTTTGAGTTGTGAAACAAGTCCTTAGGTATATTAAATGTTCTAAAACTCCCCCCAGAACCTTTTATTAATCCTGAGTGTGGAGTTAATAATTCCAAACCTAAACAGTAAGATTATGTAAAGTTTGAACACTTAAGCCAAATGCTTAGTTATGCTGCTTTAAGTGAATTGTTTTTTGGCTTTTTTGTTTTTTAAGTAATCAATAAGGATTATCTTTCTGGTTTAAAAAATAAATTGGTATTGCCACTAAAAAAGTTCAGTTTTTATTATTATTGAAAGTACGGCACCATCAAATATAAAATACCTTAAAAATGTAGCACTAACAGGTCAATCTGGTTATCTCCGCTCATTAAAAAAGAAAAAGGTTTCTTTTTATAATACGTATTTTCCAAAGATAAGAATTCATGAACAGCCTGACACCATCTTTCTGCTGCTAGTTCCCCATGGATAAGCCACACCTGACACCTGTGAGAATTTCTTGCACTGACACAGGAGGAGCAGCTCTCTGGGGGGAGAGCACCACATCAGAATTTAGACTTTTCACCTTTTGGGATCTAAATAAAATCAGTAATGATAGGAAGAGTAAACGCCTTTCCAGCTCAGATTTCAGGACTAGCTCTCAGAGTATACATCACTCTGAGATCAACGCTAGCCTATCTACTCTGACTCAGAATTTAGAAGAATGGGATTATGAAAATGTACACAAAATGTTAAATACTGGTGGCAAATAAAGACATCTTAATATGTATTAAGGAAATACAGCCCTGCTTTATCAAAGAAAGAAACATCCAAATTTTCGGGGTAGGGGTACCTTGCCATCCTTTTAGGATGATATTAATCTTTCCTGTCGTTCCCAGGGGCGCCCTGAAGGGAAACACTGGCCTCAGCTTGTGACCACTGGTTCCACAGGCGAGTCATTTTAGAAATACCTTTGCTCATATCTGAACTGAGTAACATAAACCTTGGGGAAAGAAAGTTTTAGTATGAAAGATAATTCAGCATTTCTGCCATCATCCCATGCCTTTTAGGTCTGTCCACTTTTCTCCTCAACTCATGCATAATTTATTGCAAAAGTTTGTTTTAGAAAACATTCCCCCTAATACCTTTTCTTCGGTTTTATATAGCACAATTTACAGGTGCCCTTTAGAGACTGTTGGTTTTAACCACTGCCTGAACATTTACTTCTTATGCAGCTTTAAAAATCTGTCTCCAATTTCATTCAGTCCTGGTGCTCTGGTGTTCTCTGTGTCATTGTGGTACAGGTCCATGAAACCAGCAGCCTGCTAATGTCTTTGTGCTGAAATATAGTAAAGAAAAGGAAGAAAATGTAGTTAAGCACAAGTAATTATATAAGAAAAGTGATGTCCTTGTTTAATTAAGTCCTATATAGATGGAGATCACAACTGATTTTTTATTTTAAATCAGTTAAATTTGACCAATTTTTGAGAAAACAAATTACTGCCACTCTAAACCAGCAGAAGCATTCGTGTTCTTTCCAACAGAAATAAAATGGTTGTCCTCTTCACATTGCCAATCTGCACTGGAAAATTTCTGAAGAAGGAACGGTAGCTTTGTTCTTTACACCGCCATTCACAGTTACAACACGAAGCGTTGTGAGCCAGCTTAGCTGCTGTGCACTGCGGTGAAGCACCAGCAGCCTGGCTTTAGCACAGGCTACCTACAGACTTTAGAACTATGTATCTACAAAACCTGGCTCTGTCAGAATCCACTGCAGATCACTGTCCACGCATGTGCAAAGCGCAAAAAAAAGAGTGAGGGGTGACTCCCCAGAGGTAGACACGAACATCAGAGACATCAAGAGCACCATTTTGTTCTAGAAGACAACTTGTGCACACTGGTTAGACTGACCAGTCCTCCTACAAAAAGCAGGACTCTGAACAGAACATTAGGAAGGACAAGGCTTATGAAAATTACTACCCAATACCGTGACCAAAATACCTAACATGCCAACCCGCCTTTAATAGCAGAAGTGGAAAAAAACCACTGAAATCCTCTACAATCCCCAGTACCAATGAGAATTTGACTTGCAAAAGAGGTGATCTGTGGAGAGAACAATGAGTTTTTTGGTCAAATGTATTTTTAAACCAAAGATGTGGTATTTTCAGTGGGATAACAGACAAAACAAATACAGAATGCAAAAAGAAAAGGAAACTCTCCATTCTTCCCAATATTTAACTTCCAAACATTTCACAGGCACCTTTCCCACTCTTTACTAGAACTCTTTTTCTATGTTAATTTCCAATGGTTGCCATGCTTCATTCATTTACGGGATTAAAGCCTATAAATAAATTCCACCAGGCATTCTATCTTCCGAAACAATGAAAAATTACTTCTAGCCATAAACACAACACACAACAGAGTGGAAGGTGAGTGTAGTCCTTGTTTCTGAAGGACCAGATGATTAATACAAGTTCACATTTAGCTAAGAGCAGTGATTATTTTCTAAGACTAAGATATTAGTTTAATATTAGTATAATTGCTAATATAATACTAATAAATATTTAGAATTATACTAATATAATTCTCAGAACTTTGGTAGTAAATATCCTTTTTATATATTTAAGGAGAAAAAAGTAGCCAATCCTATGTACATTTCCATTTCCTATTTACAACTGTCAATAGTTGGCTTCAATCTGAGTGAGGCCTATTCAAGTTGGCAGGAAAGTCAAGAATTGTAGCAGATCTTACTATTCATATGAGGTGCAAACAAAGATGCTATTTCCTCAAGAGCTCATTTTAAGGGTAGCTGCTACCCCTATACTGGTAAGAATCCATAATTTCCCAACCTCAACCCTCTGATCCAAAATATGCCATTCTACCCTCCTTGCAAATTACAGCTTATGCAGTGATACAGCCCAATGAATAGCCTTTATTCAGAAAAACAAAATCGCAAATTCAAAAGCAGCACAATGGAATCCCTAAACCTTTCCTCCTGTTTAAGAGCCCAAAATAAGCCTTTTGAGCGTTACCCAAGGTTTTTATTAATGTGCTTAAGTAGATTACAACTACATTGCCACACCCTTACCACCCACTGAGTTGTAAATGATAATTTTGAGATTAATATATGTAAGTATATGACTACGAAGTTAAGAGTAATGAATTTAAAGGTGACAAATAAAGGATGAGATAGTGAAAAGATAAAGGAATCCACTATTTGACCATCCAGAGAGGCTCGGTTGCTATTTGGCATAAATCTATAATCTGACACCCAACTTCTATCACCATAGGAAAAATTCTTCTCAATTCCTGGAAGCTCGAAGGAGACTGGCTCTACTTTTTAGCACAGCAGGTAATACGATATGAAAAGTTAATATGACTCATTAAAACGATCACCTTCATAAGGGATACGCAGCTACCAATGAAGGCTAAGGAAAAAGAACTAATGAATCCATTTACAGCTAGCCTCATCTACTTTGGAAATGGTCAAGTGATGACATGGTGCCCTCTTCACTCTGTGGCAGGGCTGAACACAGACAGACCTGCCCGTCTCACTGTTAACGTCAATGCTCCCGGTCTGAATCCACAGTGGTCTGTCAGACACTGTAAGGGAGCAGCAGGGTTCGCCACTGTCTGATGTAATAGCTGCCATTTGTTGAGACCTATGGTAGAAAAAACCAAGTTAACAAAAGTAGAGAAGTCATTTGAGTTCGAAAAAAATTTAAAATATCAAAATTCAGTTGAATTTTCATAATTTATTCTACATAACTTACTGGCTTCACAAATGTGAAGCTTTGGTTCTAAACCAAGGAAAACTGACAAGGTGTGTAAACACCAGCCTTGGCCAGGTGAGGGCTCTCCGGCCCAAGACAATTCAGCAGCAAACTGCCTTCAGGTGCACCGAGAAGCTGCCCTCCAATGCTAACTAGCACTTACTGTTCCTGACAAAACTTGTATTAGCCTCGTATTGGCATAGTCCTGATCTTAGCATTCAACGAGGGCTGGAGTCTCCATACCTTCCGCATTACAACATTAATGAGACCCTGTTTTGCAGAATGACCAAAACGTGCCTAAACCCCTTTCTCTTTTAATGCCAATGACCATTTGTGCATACTATTCAGGGACCTGAATCAATGACTCAGTATCTGCTTAAAACAAGTTTAACAAGATAAGCTTTCTCACTTAGGCATTCCGAACAGAGACTTCAAATACTAAGCCTAATTCAAATAAAAAATTGCTATTTCAAGCCTTATTTTTTAAACATATCTGCTTGTCTGCTTAATTCCCTACTTTAAGTATTAACAGATCTATCAAATTACTATAGTTAACTCTGGGGTCGAGTTAGAGAATGTTTGGTCCTTACAATATTTTTTAAATGCTAAGTTAAACAAGAAGCATGTCAAAACTTTTAAAAAGGCTTTTCTGACATTGAAAAGGATAAATTTCATACACCTGATCTATAAACATAATTCTGAATTTTAATGGAGAACAATTTCCTTTAATGAGGCTTAACAATGAGATTATTTTTACCCTTTTGTTCACAGGAAAACTTAAATATACTACGGTAGCCCAACAGCAGTCACATCAAGAAGAAAAGGAATCTGAATGCACAAGAGCATTTCTTTTCAACACCTCCCTCCATAAGTAACACCTTTTAGGTCTGAACAATCATTCCAAAGAACCTTCTTTTCCATTCTAGGCAAAAGTTAAGAATCTGCATCAAAGAACTACCATCCTTTCCTGTGCATTGCTTCCACACACACACTCCACCACCACACACACACAGGCTTTTGTGTGAATGTTGAAGATGAAGTTTTCCCTCCCTCGGTGCTTTTGGGGTCTCAAGGTTCTTCTTTAGATACTGACCATACCTACAAAATCCATTAGAAAAAGCCAGGGAGCCCTGACTGTGATACAGGAAATGGAGGGACACCCTCCTGAAAGCCATTTCAGGGGAATTACTTACTTTGTTCATTAAGTCAAAGCTTACATGCAACAATGTAAGGCAACGGTTCCTGGGAGGCGGCAGAGATGTAAAAGGACAACTCAGAACAGGGTAAGGAAGCACTCAGTCTCCTTTCTGGAGTGCATGAAAGAAGCAGAGAAGGTCACACTCTTAGAGCAAAGCCCAGAATGAAAAGCTAAAGAATTAAGATTACAAACATGCACCTATCATCTTGCTGAACACTCAACATGAATTTTCTCTTAATACAATGTAATATGCTTCAACATGAACAAACAGATAAAAGCAACAATACAATAAGACATTCTGGCTTCTAGCCTTAGTATTTTTCTAACCAGAACATTAGGAGTCACATCTAGATGTGCTATTCCCAGCCAGATTTCCTGCTAAAAGCTAAATTGTGAAGGAAAATCACAGTTTTGTAATCAGCATCTCAAAAACGAGCCATGAGTAAAAACTACAGAGAGAATGTGGCCACAGATCAAGACCTTGGAATGTGGAGTATTTCCCTCCTAGAAAAGGGAAATGGCTCCTACTCAATCATACAAATAGCAATAAAAAATGAAGGGGGGTGGGGAGATGAGAGGAAACGTTCAAATTAATATCCACTTTTCACCATTACGCAAAGTATTAAATAAAATAATGAAACACCAGGGTCCCAGGGGAACACAGCATCTGTTCAAATCAACTAGTTTACACTACTCAGTGCCGACGAGGGTAGCTTTGTGGTCCTAATACTTTTGGAAACCTCCTAGGAGGACCTCTACTCCGCTGGGCCCCACCTGCTCACTCCAGCCTCGCTTCTGAAAATGGTGACTAGACCTTAGTACACATCAGTGTCTTCCTCACTCACACATAGACCATCATCTCTGCTATGGCAGGCCCCGTGCTTGATATAAAAGAAGAAAACAGCAAGTAACAGACTCCTTGGATTTATGTGACCCGTAAATGAATGGGGCAAGCGTTGAAATGTTAATGCACTTCTCCCTTCACAAGTCCCATGACCTCCAACCCAGCTGCCCTCCACATGCCTGCTGGAAATAATTCATACCTACGTATAGATATTTGTGGATGATCACATTATGATTATTATTTTCATATAATGTTGCTATAACATTTTTTTCCAGTTATATTCAGTATGTTGAGGGATATTAAAAGCTACCTGAGCTCTATCTGATGTTTCTCAATGGTTAGTGTCAGTCCAAGCACCAAAAGGTCTCAGGTTCAATTCTCAGTCAAAGGCAATTACCTGGGCTGCAGGTTTGAACCCTACCCCAGTCAGGGTGCGTACATGCGCGCAGGAGGCAACTAATCAATGCGTTTCTCACATGTGATTTTTCTTTCTCCCCCTTCCTCCCTCCCTTTTGCTCTCTCTA